CAGAGAGAGAGAGAGGGAGAGAGAGAGAGAGAGACAGAGAGAGAGAGAGGGAGAGAGAGAGGGAGAGGGAGACCCTATCTGCTGCTCATGATGATGCTTACACGTTGCGCGCACGCACGCACCCCTCCACACGCACACACACGCGCGCACGCACGCAGACCGATGCTCGCGCACAGTGACGGCATATTGCGAGTAATCCGGCGTCACTCAGCAGCATTTAGTGTCAACGTTACATCGTTATCCCGTGCGTGTGACATGCACCGCCGTCGTGGGATTACAGCAGCGCTTGCAGCGTCTTACTCTTACACCAACAACACAGCTGATGCTGCTGCTGCTACCGCTGCTGCTGCTGCTGCTGCTGCTGCTGCTGCTGCTGCTTCTGCTGCTACTGCTACTGCTGCTGCTCTGCTGCTGCTACTGCTGCTGCTGCTATGCTGCTGCTGCTGCTTCTGCTGCTGCTACTGGTCTGCTACTGCTGCTGCTACTGCTGCTACTACTACTACTGCTGCTGCCTGCCTCCTTCTGACGCTGCTACACTGCTGCCTTGCCTGCTGCTGCTGCTGCTGCCTGCTGCTACTGCTTGCTGCTGCTGCTGCACCACACGCAAACGCACGCACACGCACACCCACCCACCAGGGGACCGATGTCAGCAGCCTCCCCCATCGTTCAGCATCATTAACACTAAATGAATGCTAAACTTATGACGACAATAACGCCACTAGTGAATTGCACATGCAGGTCCTCCATACACTCTATCAGGAGTGCTATATAGATAATATAGAGGATAATATAATAGGATAAATATAATATAATATAATGTAATGTAATGTAATGTAATGTAATGTAATGTAATGTAATGTAATGTAATGTAATGTAATGTAATGTAATGTAATGTAATGTAATATAAATGTAATATAATGCAATGCAATGTAATGTAATGTAATGTAATATAATATAATATAATGTAATGTAATGTAATGTAATGTAATGTAATATAATGCAATGTAATGCAATGTAATATAATATAATATAAATAATATAATATAATATAATATAATGTAATATAATAAGATAATATCGATCTCATCAGGGGATAATAATGACAACTTTGTCATTATTAACCCTTGATCTCACCTATATCATGACACTCCCGAATCTATCATATCGGATGAGTTACCCCGTCATGTTAATCCTCATTATATTTATCTCATATAATATATAACATAAATAATAGAATATAATAATATAATACAATATTAGATAATCCTTACCTGGCAACTTGACAAGCGTGACAACGCGTATCCGTGGTGACACCTCCATAATGTCACCTCTCCCCCCGCACGCCCCGTATATCGTGTACATGTGTGTCGCCCCCTTGTAAACTGAGTTCAGTCAGCTATAGTATGTATGTACGTCCGTGCGCACACACGTTCACTTTGGTTTGTGACATAACGTGTCGGGTGGTGACCGCATCGTGACGTTATTGGCATCGTTGACAATGCTCTGCAGTAGAACTGTCGCAAAGTGTCGCACTGGTGTCACACACATCAGCCGCTAGTATTATACACTCATTCATTCATTCATTCATTCATTTATTCTTTCATAAAGTATTGCTTTTAAGCTGTGAGTATTTATTCATTCACCAACACGCGCACAACGGGGCGTCCGCGGTTGAAAATAATGGCACCTGTCGTTGTGTGTCCTGTGTGCGGGTATAGGTAAGTAAGTGTGTGTAAATACCTTTACTTTATCTGTGCACGGTCAGTGTGCTAATGCTGGAAAACACCTTCACTTGTGTCTGTAACGTGATGCGGAACTCCGGAAAACACTATTACTTATGTTTGTAACGTATAGCAAAACTCCGGAAAACAGTATCACTTATGTCCGTAACGTAATGCGGAACTCCAGAATACGCCACCACTTGTGCCCGTAACGAATTATGACACCCCAGAAAACGCACAATTTTCACTTTAAGTCAGTAAACTATTGTCACATAAGGTTGCACAAAAACGTCGATAGGATCATAGATGAGAAAAACAAATCTAATTTCCAATAAAAATCGGTGGCGGCCATCTTGATGAATTCGCATCCGGGTCCCTCGGCTCGCACATACGTCACGGAACGTGCGTCTGCTCTGCTTTACAAGACGCCGACAGAACTTCACGAAGGTCACGTGGTCGACCTTTCTGCCAGACAGCGCAATACAATCCGTCATCAGGCGTGGCGCCACCAGCCGTGACCCCGGAGTGACCTCTGCGTGACCTCCCGATCACTGTTCGGTCCGTGAGAGGCACGTGCTCGCTTCCCGGGCATTATCCCAGCATCCCGGCTTGATTAGCAGGCATGGCTTCTTCGCTAACGAACGGCTCTGTGCGCGGCCTCACGCCCCGCATCCCGCTGCCACGAAGGATGCTGGCGGATGCGGAGAGATGCTGAGAGATGCTGGGGAGGATGCTGGGGAGGATGCCGGGGGATGCGGAGGGATGCTGCGAGATGCTGGGGAAGATGCTGGGGATGCTGAGATGCTGGGGAAGATGCTGTGGATGCTGGGGATGCTGGGAGATGCTGAGAGATGCTGGGGAGGATGCTGAGGGATGCTGATGGGGGATTCTAAGAGAGGATGCTAAGGTATGCCGAGGGATTGATGATCATAGCTGCTTATGGATGCGGAGAGATGCTAAGGGAGAATGCGGCGAGTTGCTTATGGATGCGGAGAGATGCTAAGGGAGGATGCGGCGAATTGCTTAGGGATGCAGAGAGATGCTGAGGCATGCTGACGGATGCGAAGAGATGCTGAGAGAGGGTGTTGGGAGAAGAGGAGAGACAGTGAAAGATTTTGAGAGACTATACTAAGCAATGTGGAGAGATGAGGAAAGATTCTTTGGGAAGATTTCTTTCGGAAGACACGCGGTCCTGCTTTTCCTCATTGTTCTCCTACGCCTCGCTGTTGCCGTGGAGACGGGCCGACGGTGGGACTTTCGCTGCCGTCACGTTCCGATACCGACGTCACCGACGCCGTCGATTTCCGTTGATGACGTCACCGATGCCGTCATGTTCCACTAATGACGTCACTGCCGACGCGTTACGGTCCTGCTGATGACGTCACCTTCGACGTCGTAGCACTATATTGGATGATGAAGAAGTTGGCTTCAGTCGCGTGGCATCATCTTGTCCGCTCATCCTTCCTCATCTCTTTCCTCAGCTTCCGCCCCAGGCTGCCGTCCGCCACCAGTGCTCGCTGCCGACTGAGCGACGAGATGACGTCACCGCGGCAGGCGCGCGAGGGGATTCTCGGTCACGATCCAGGCCGCATGCCGACGACGGCGACGACGACGATTATGATGATGATGATGATGACGATGATGACGATGATTATCTTGTAATAGCAGACGACACCCCCAGCCTCCCCAGTGCGACCCGCGCATAGACGCGCCCCCGCCGTCGCCGCGGCTATGAGAGTCTCGTCACAGGAGAACGACGCGAGGACCAGTCTAGGCGGAATCCCTCTGGACGCTGTGCGACGCTGATAAAGTTTACACACGAGAGGAGAAAGGACGAGAAGGAGGAGAGGAGGCTGCGGATGTGAGGAGATAACGAGGAGGAGGATGGAGGAGGGAAAGAGGAGGAGGAGGAAGCATGGAGTAGAGGAAGAGGAGGAGAGAAGAGTAGAATAAGGCCAGAGGAAAAGAAGGAGGGGTGGGGAAGAGAAGCAGCAAGAGACAGTTAGGAAGAGAAATGTGTAGGGTAGCGAGCAGAAAGAAGTAGATAGAAGCGAGCCGCCAGCCAGTCGGCGAGCAGCAGCCCTATGGCGAAAGAATGAGATGGAGAAGAGAAGACGGATCGATTGAATGGCCGCGGGTCGTTGCTGCCCGCTGGGGGCTAGCCTATCTTAAATAACAATGATCACGTTGTGTGTGATGTGAGTGTAGTGTGTGTGCTGTGTGCTGATGTGTGGTTGGTGGTGTGTGTGTGTGCTGTGTGGTGCTGTGGCGTGGCGCTGATGTGTGTGCGTGTGTGCTGTGTGTGTGTGTGTTGTGCGTGTGCTGTGTGTGTTGTTCGTAGTGTGTGTGTGTGTGCTGTGTGTGTGTGTGGTGTGTGTTGTTGTGACTGTGTGGTGCGTGTGTGTGTTGTGGGGTGTGTGTGTGTGCTGGTGTGGTGTGTGTGTTGTGGCTGTGGTGTGTGTGTGTTGTGCCCGGTGTGTGTGGTCCGGTGTGGTTGCCTGTGGTGTGATGTCTGTGTGTGTGTGGTCGTGTGTGGTGTGTGCGGGCTCTGTGACACTGTGTGATTGTGGCTGTGTTGTCGTGTGGACGGTTGTTGTCGTATGTGCGTTGCTGTTGCGTGCGCGCGTGTGTGTATAGTGTGGAATGTGTGTGTGTGTATGTGTGTGTGTGTGTGTGTGGGTGTGTGTGTGTGTGTGTGTGTGTCTGGGGGGTGGTGTGCTGTGTGTGTGTTGCGTCGGCGTGGGGCTGTTGTGTTCCGTGTGTTTCGTGTATTTATGTGGCTCATCCACCTGTGTGCCGGTGTGTTCCGTGCTGTTGTGCTGTGTGTGTGTGGTGTGTCCGTGTAGTGACGACTCCTTGCCCAGCGCTCGTATGTGGTCGTTGCTGTGTGTGTGGATTGTGTAAGGAAATATCGAACCTTTTTCCATTAGTATCTCACACCCATCAGTATCTCATTGCCACGCTACGTATATACATCGTAGCTAATTACGCGTTGCTCTGTACTGTACGCGGAATTCATTGTCATTGCCCTGCTACCTATTCTTCCTCACTCCTTCCTTCCTCCGGCTTCGCTCCCTCCTCCTCCCCTCCTCTCTCTCTCTCTCCTCCTCTTCCTCTCCTCCTCCTCTTCTCCTCCTCTTCCTCCTCCTCCTCCTCTTTCTCCTCCTCTTCCTCCTTCTCCTCCTCCACCTCCTCCTTCTCCTAGTGGTAACCCTCCTTCCTCCCTTCCGGAGCAGCGTCTGCCGTCACCATGGTAACCCTCCTCTTCGCATCTGCAGGTGCTGCAGCAGCAGCCTCTGCAGGCATCGCAGCATCCCTCGCGCGCACGCGCCATCACCATGGTAACCCTCCTCCTCGCATCCGCAGGTGCTGCAGCAGCAGCGTCTCGAGCAGCAGCGTCTGCAGGCGTCGCAGCATCCCGTGGCGGCGGACGCGCCCGTCGACGCGGCAACGTTCATCCAGACGCTGCCGACGTCGCTGCGCACGCAGGTGCTGGCGGACATGGACGACACCGTGCTGGCGGTGCTGCCCGCCGAGCTGGCGGCCGAGGCGCAGACGCTGCGGCGGGAGCTGGAGGCGAGGCATCGGCAGATACAGGAGCGCTTCTTCGGGCACGGCGCCGGTACGGCCCCGCTAGCGTGGGAGGGGAGGGGGTGGGAGGAGGCGTGGGAGGGAGGAGGGTGTGGTGTAGGGGAGGAGGGGTGGGAGGGAGGTGTGTGTGTGTGTGTGTGTGCGTGCGTGCGTGCGTGCGTGCGTGCGTGCTTGCGTGTTTGCGTGCGTGTGTGTGTGCGTGTGTGTGTATATGTGTGTGCGTGCGTGCGTGCGTGCGCGCGTACACCTGCTGGGATAAGGGGCGTGTGCGTGTCCGTGAGTCTTATGTAAGTAAACGGGATCCGATAAAGCGATGTTATGCTACATTAAACTTTATTGATATCATTTTATTTTATTTCTATATGATTACGGAATCATCTTTATGCCCCCCCCCCCCCTCCATCATCTCATTGCACCCACGTAATAATATATAATTATTTTATATTTAGTTTATTTATTATTGCTTTTTATATCATGATTATTTAGTCATTTATATATATATTATATTTTATTTATATTAAATTTTCATCATCACGAGATCATAATAGGTATTATTAGCTCGTGATTTTATTCATATATTTCATCGATATCATTTTATTTCATCTTCGTATTATTACGGAAGCGTCTACCCGCCCGACACCAAAAATCCCCCCCGCACGTGGCGCCATCGTGTGTCACCCCACGTCACTAACCGCGCGTCTCGTCCCGGCAGGTCGCCTCGGGATGCGGTACGCGATCCGCTCCATGCCTCAGCGCGGCAACCAGTGGCCGTGGGGCATGAGCGCGCGGCAGCCGCCGGCAGGGGGCGCCGGCGGCGGCGCGCTGCGGCTGAGGGGGCGCCAGCTGCTCGATAACGAAGCGCTCGCCTGCCTCCTCGTCCTGCTGTTCGTCGACGAGCCGAAGTTGAACACGGGGCGGCTGCATCGCGTGCTGCGCAACCTGTGCTACCACCCGCCGACGCGAGACTGGATCGTCCGCTCTCTCCTCTCCATCGTGCAGCGCACGGGCGACCCCCCGGCCTCCCCCACGCCCGCGACCGATCACCGCGGGCGCCGCGGCGCAGGGGGAGGAGGAAGAGGAGGAGGAGGAGGAGGAGGAAGAGGAGGAGGAGGGGCGTGTAAGGGCGCGGGGGCGGCGGCGTCGGCGGGGGAGGCCGCGCACACACGTCGTGGCTGTCGATCAGCCTCGACGCCGCGCTCGGTTGCCGTGCCAACGTCTTCCAGATCCAACGGCCGAGCGGAGGCGGAGGCAAGCGCTCGGAGAAGTGCGGCGGCGGCGGAGGAGGAGGAGGAGGAGGAGGAGGGGGCGGTGGTAGTGCCCCCACGGTGTCGATCCACCCGCAGGCGTCGCCGGTCGTGATTCGCCACGCCCTCGACACGCTCATCTATCTCACGAAAAGCTTTCCGAATCACTTTGTGCCGACGCGCGCGCGGGAGGCGGCGGCGCCGGCGCCCCCTGCCGGGCAGCGTCGCGCGGCCGCCGCCGGCTCCGACTTCTGGGACCTGCTGGTGAAGCTCGACAACATGAACGTGAACCGCAAGGGCAAGGCATCGCTGCATAGGTGAGGGCGCCATCCGGTGGCGGCCGAGAGAATTAATTCTGTTTTTTTTGTTTTTTATATTGCCGACGATTAGAATCGTTAATTACGTGATTTTTAATATGATGCCGGTCGCGTCGACATTGAATGTTGTTGTCTAATTAGGTTTATTTTGGAAGGTTATCTCGGAGCGTTAGGTTTATGTTTGGGTAACGTTATGTTATAATAGTTGTGTGTGAGATTGTGAGATAACCCATCACCCCTAATTCCCTCCCAACCCCACAAACCCGCCAACCCCTCAAACCCCCCTGACCCCAGCCCCAACCTGTGACCCTTGACCCTTGACCCCTGACCTAGCATTGATTGTCTCCATCCCGCTTACGGCGCCATCCGGTGGCAACAGCGCAAATTAGTTTCTTCGTTTGTTTGTTTGTTTTTTGGTTATTAGAATCGTTAATCACTTGATTTTGAATGGTTGAGAGATTCGATTTTTTACGTTTTTTGAATTAAAATTTTTAAATTTTAAATTTTAATTTTTTTTATTACGTCGTTGAAATTTGTCGTGTCATGTTGTCATGCGGACGTTGATTGGTATTTGTGATTGCGCGTAGGTTGTACAGCACGGGCGCGGCCGACGCTGACGCCGCCGTCACCGACATGCAGGCGTCGCCGCTCGGCCAGCTGATGCTGATGCTAGCGCACCCTGTGATTCGTCGCAGCGCTCTGCTCACGGATAAGCTGCTCCACCTGCTGGCGCTCGTCTCGTTAGGGATACCGGACGGGGCGAGTCGCGGCGGCGGCGGCGCGGCGACGGTCGCCGCGGCGACGACGACGACGACCGCGGCATCGTCTGTGATCTCTAGGTGAGTGCGTGTGTGTGTTTGTGTGTGTGTGTGTGTGTGTATGTGTGTGTGTGTTGTTGTGTGCGTGCGTGCGTGCGTGCGTGCGTGCGTGCGTGCGTGCGTGCGTGCGTGCGTGCGTGTGTGTGCGNGTGAATGCAATAAGAGCTAGGGGTTTTGAGCATTTAAAAAAAAATTATGCAAATTAGGTAGCCCGGCTTTGGCAATTAGTAGAGCGCATATTATAGTAAACACAAACAGTCTTGGTTGTCATACTGCGTCTGGCGTTCGTATCTTACAAGACTTTCATTGACAACTATCTTTAAATGCCAAAAATTGGTATTTCCCTTCCACTCTGCCCGATAAAACGTCCTTATATTAGAGTAAAGTTTAAAAACATGTTCGGAACACGCATAAGCTATTTATTTCGAACGCCATTGCCTACAAAAAGCGGTTCTGTAGTGCCATCTACCGTCACAAATTGTTCATTCATGTTGCGTTATAAATTATGTGCGATATACAGATGGCAACTCGTCTTCTCATAATGGTACGTCGATGGTTGCCTTCAATTAAAACTGAACTTCTTGCTTACTCATTTATTTGGTGTCATTTTTGCTGATGAGCTACAGGCGTCATTTGGACGACTTTCATTAACGAGTCTGAATAAGGCTTTAGCTGAACTGCCGAAAGTCGACGGTAACGAAGAGGACCGGGAAGCAACTCTCTCATCGCTCAATGTCGTGATTTCGATTTGCGTTTTCAGCACACTTTTAGAGGAGCTTACCAGCGATGGGTGTTGAAATGGTTCCAAGAAGCTGGATCCGCGGAAAGGAGGGGCGAGGAGGCAGCAGCAGCCGCGGGCCAGCAGCGACGGGAGGAGCGATCGAGGGCATGAGTGAGGGAGCCGCGCCACGCACAAGCAAGAGTCTCATCACAGATCGGTACGCGCGGCAGTTACGCTGCCGTTTACACTATCGATTCTTTGTCAGCAAATCGTTCCGATTTTTCACAGTGCATTTCCAAGCTAATCGGCTTGAAAGTTCAATCTTTTTGTTCGGAGTCGAGTCGACTTTAAGTTGGAGAAATAGGAACACGCAACTCGGCGCACTTGACTCCGCCAACAGCATCGGAATTTCAGCCAATATGGTGTTGAGAATGCAACTTGAAATCGGAACGATTTGCGAGCAAAAAATCGACAGTATTAGTATAAACGCAGCATTAGATCGTACACGTGTTCTAGATTATTGTAGTGGTGTTAACGGTTAAAACGCGATTCAACTGTATCGCGATACATCCCGTTCGCGTTCGGTTTTTTCTTTTTTTTTTTGTCGTTTTAGTTCTCGGTATCTGTCGTGGAAATACATTCAACCACTCGCAGTTTTGCGTATTTAGATTATAGTATTATGACTATTTTATCCTTGAACTGTATTACTTTTATTGTCTTTTTATGGCAAATGAATAACACAATAAATGTATATTATTATGATAGGTATTATGTCCATTATTATTAAATGGAGGGGAAAATTTCCCATCTTCTCAGCATTTACACTGAAAATAACGAACCGACATGAATTCGAAACCGAAGAGCAAAAACCGAACCGACCCGAAACAAAATGTATCGTTACACCCCTACTAGATATATACTAAGTGTGTAGAGTCTACTAGCCTCACCTACACACTATGACCAATGCGTTCTAACCTATATTGGACTCTTCCGTACCCCTATTCTTTTTGACGCTATTCTCCTGTACCCCTTCGCCCACTAGTAAGCAAAATGAAGACCAACACTGATGTTATTGCTCAGAATATTTTGACATCTGTTTATGTTATTAATGCAGGTCGCACAGTGAATTTTTTCAATCAAGGCCACGTGAAAAAAGATAGACGGGGCTCGGGGCGATTAAGCCGCCCGAAATGCCAAAAGAGCCCCGGGCAAATGCCAAAAAGACGCCGTCGGAATGCCCAAAAAGACCCCCGGAAATTTGCATAGAGTTAATGCAAACCAAATTTTAGAGTCGCATTTTTATTGCACGACGAGCTTGAAAAGTAGCACCCGAAAATAAATTATATTTTTTCCCCTGAATCCAAGCGCCACTGTGCCCTAAACGACAGGTTCAATGAGAAGACTTGCTGCTGCATGGCAAAACTAACTTTTTTTACCATGATTAAGTTGGCACGTCGATAGAGATACCTGAATCACCCGCTGTATTATTATATAGCACTACTTTTTTTAAATTGTCTAGAGGCTTCCAGCGTACCCCCTTGGGTGTTCGCTGGCTACCCCATGGGATAACTAGTACCCCGTGGGAACCAGGGCACTAGACTGTCGTGTTCTAGCTTCACTGCTCACAAATCTCGATTGACGTTCTCGCTTCTCATCTCGTCCTTGGTTTATTTATCTGATTGATTTTTTTATACATGTATTATGTTGATACCATGTACGCGTAGTGTGGATACCATGTACCGGTATCGTGATACCACCAATAATAATATGTTATATCATGGACTGATAGTAACACGCTGTAACGCAGATGGTGACACGATACCACAGACGGTAGTTAGGCACGCGCCAGCGCATTGTGTACTCATTTGTGTGTCGGTGCTGGTAATGTCTCACGTAACGTGCGTTCACGTCGTTAACGGATGCTGCTAACGTCACGTAACATCCCGTAACGTCGCGTAACGCTCCCGTAACGTGCCGTAACGTCGCGTAAACGTGTCCGTAACATGCCGTAGACGCTGCGTAACATTTCGTAACGTCGCGTAACATGTTCCCGTAAACATGCCGTAACTCCATGTAACATGCCGTAACGTCGCGTAACATGCCGTAACGTCGCGTAACATGCCGTAACGTCGCGTAAACATGCCGTAACGTCGCGTAACATGACAGTAACGTTACGTAAGTAACATGCAGTAACGCTCGGCGTAATGCATTCATAACGTCGACGTAACATGCCCGTAACGGTCCGTAACATGCCTAACGTCACGTAACTGCAGTAACGTCATGTAACATGCGAGTAACGTCGCGTTAATGCATTCCATAACGTCACAGTAACATTCGCCGTAACGTCACGTAACATTGCCGGTAACGTCACGTAACATTGAGAACGTCACAGTAACATGCAGTAAAAACGTCGCATAACATGCCGTAACGTCATTTGTAACATTGCCGTAACGTCGCGTAACATTTGCTGTAACGGCCGCGTAACGTGTCCATTGCGTAACATTGCGTAACATCCGTAATGTGGTGTAAATGCTGTAAACGTTGCGTAACATGGCCAGTAACGTTTACGTAACATGCAGTAACGTCACCATAACATGCTGCTAACGTTCGCGTAACATGCCCGTAACGTCGCCGTTAAGCATGCCGTAACGTCACGTAACATGCCATAACGTCACGTAACATGCCGTAACCTGTCAATAAACGTCACATAGCATGCCGTAACGTGAGTAACATTTGCGGTAACGTCCGCGATAACATGCCGTACGTCGGCGTAACATGCGGTAACGTCGCGTAAACATGCCATACGTACGTAAACGATGCCGTAAACGTCGCATAACATTCCGTTAACGTCACGCAACATGGCCGTAACGTCAAGTAACATCCGTAAACGTGCCGTAAACATGTCGTAATGTCGCTGTAACCTGCCGTACGTCGCGTAGCATGCTTGCTTAACGTCACGTAAACATCCCTGTAAACGTCGCGTAACGTGCCATAACATTGCCGTAATGTTCGTTAACATGCAGTAACGGTCGCATAACACCATAACGTGTCATAACGTCACTGCGTAACATGCGGCGTAACATCGCTTAACGCTGCCGTAACGTCGTGTAACATGCCGTTAACGCGCGTAACATGCCATGAACGTCGCATAACATGCGTACCTGTCATACGTCACGTTAAACATGCCGTAACCTGTCATAACGTCACGTAACATGCCGTAAAACCTGTCATAAAACGTGCACGTAAACATGCCGTAACCTGTCATAAACGCTCGCGTAACATGCCCGTAACGTTCGCTCTAACATGCCGTACGCCGCGTTAACGTGCCGTAAAGTCGTGTAACATGCCGTAACGTCGCGTAACGTGCCGTAACGCCGCGCATCATGGGCTTCGTTAACTCAGGTACTCTGGTCAGAACATCGTCATCCATGCGCCGAGCAAGGTGAAGGGCGGCCGCGAGCTGCAGCTTCCCGATTGAGCTCGCCTAACGAGCAAGACGTCCAGCCAGGCGTTCTTCCTCCGTGTTCTCAAGGTCATCATCCAGCCTGCGCGAGGCGGCGAGGGTCGCAGAGCAGGGAGGCTTACCGGCACCATGCCCCCGCGCGTGGAGCATATACATACCCGCACGCACGCACGCACGCACGCGCGCGCGTAGGTCGCCGAGCAGGGAGGTAGCGGCACCCTGCCCCGCGAGGTGGAGTATACATAGCCCGACACGCACGCCACGCACGCACGCACGGCACGCTAACGCGCGTCGGGGTGAGGGTCGCAGAGCAGGGAGGCTACCGGCACCACGCCCCCGCGCGTGAGTATACAATACCCGCACACAACGCACGCACGCCGCACGCACGCCGCGGAGGCGCGCGCCAGAGCAGGGAGGCCTAACGGCACATAGCCCCCGCTGCGGAGTATACATTACCGCACGCACGTACGCACGCACGCACGCACGCTACGCCACGCACGGTGAGGGTCGCAGAGCAGGGAGGCTACCGGGCACCACAGCCCTCCGCGCGTGAGATATACATACCCGCACGCACGCACCGCACGCACGCCACGCACGCGCGTGCGAGGCGTCGCCAGCAGGGCAGGCTACCGCACCACGCCCCCGCGCGTGCAGTATCATTACCCGCACGCACGCACCGCACGCACGCAACGCGCAGGCGAGGGTCGGCAGATGCAGGGGAGGCATTTACCGGCACCACGCCCCGCGCCGGTGTATACATACCCGCACGCACGCAGCACGCACGCACGCCACGCACGCACTGCGCGGTGAGGGCGCGCAGAGCAGGGGAGGCTACCAGCCACACGCCCCCGCACGTGAGTATACATACCGCACGCACGCACGCACGCACTGCGCGCACGCGACGCACGCACGGTGAGCGGTCACGAGCAGGGAGCGCTACCGGCACTCATGACCCCCGCCGCGTGAGCTATACATACCCGCACGCACGCACGCACTGCACGTCACGCACGCACGCACGCACGACGGGTGAGGGTCGCAGAGAGGGAGGCTACCGGCCACCACGCCCTGCAGCCGTGAGTATAGCATACCCGCACGACACGCACGCACGCACGCCGCACGCACGCACGCACGCACGCACGCACGCGCGGTGAGGGTCGCAGAGCAGGGAGGCTACCGGCACCACGCCCCCGCGCGTGAGTATACATACCCGCACGCACGCACGCACGCACGCACGCACGCACGCACGCACACGCGCGCGCACGCGCGGTTGAGGTCGCCAAGCAGTAGAGCGCTACCGGCACCAGCCCCCGCACCGTGAGTATACATCACCCGCCACGCACGCACGCACGCCGCACGCACGCACGCACGCGCGGCGAGGGTTCGCAGAGCAGGAGGGCTACCGGGCACCATGCCCGCGCTCGTGAGTATACATAACCGCCCACGCACGGCACGCACGCACGCACGCACCGCACGCACGCGCGGCGAGGGGCGCAGAGCCAGGGAGGCTACCTGGCACCATCGCACCCGCGCGTGGAGATATACATACCCCGGCACGCCAACGCACGCTACCGCACGCCACCACGGCACGCCACGCACGCCGCGTGATGGGTCGCAGAGCAGGCGAGGCTCACCGCACCATGCCCCCCGCCGCTGTGAGTATACATACCGCCACGCCACGCCACGCACGCACGCACGCAACGCACGCCACGCGCGGCGAGGGTCGCAGAGCAGGGAGGCTACCAAGCGCACCATTGCCCCGCGCGTGAGTATACAATACCCGCCGCACGCACGCACGACGCACGCACGCACGCTGACTATTATGTCGCGGTGAGCCGTCGCAGAGCAGGGGAAGCTAACCGGCACCATGCCCCCGCGCGTGAGTATACATACCGCGACGCACGCCCACGCACGACACGCACGCACGCACGCACGCGCGGCGAGCGGTGCGCAGAGCAGGGGGCTACCGGAACCACGCCCTGCGCGTGAGTAATACCATACCCGCACGCACAGCACGCACGCACGCACGGTGAGCGCGTCGCCTGAGCAGGGAGGCTACCGGCGCCACATAATGCCCCGCGCAGTGAGTATACATACCGCACGCACGCACGCACGCAACGCCGTGGTGCAGGGTCGCCAGAGCAGAAGGAGGCTACCGCGGCACCACGCCCCCGCACGTGAGTATTACATAACCCGCCACGGCACGCACGCCGAACGCACGCCACGCATGCGCAAGAGCAAGTAGGGTCGCAGAGCAGGGAGGCTACCGGCACCACGCCCCCGCGCGTGAGTATACATACCCGCAGTGCGTGCGTGCGTGCGTGCGCACCGCGCGTGCAGGGTCGCAGAGCAGGGAGGCTACCGGCACCATGCCCCCGCGCGTGAGTATACATACCCGCACGCACGCACGCACGCGCGGTGAGGGTCGCAGAGCAGGGAGGCTACCGGCACCACGCCCCCGCGCGTGAGTCTCTCTCTCTATCTGCGGAATCACTCGCAAGCGATTGTCTAGAAGTTCTAAAATTGTTCTCTGTGCATTCTCGGATGACTTATGAATCCTATACGCGACCCACACATCTTGCCACACACTTGACAGCTGTTTCCAGCGGGTAGGGGTGGAATTTTTCCCTCTTCCTGGGACCTTGCACGCTCTTTGCGTAAGATCCGTTTCCTCTCGACTTCTTGGCGCTTGACCGTCTCAAAATAGACAACACCGTCGTATACAACGCCCCTCCAGGTGGGTCTCATACCTGCGCAGAAGTAACTTTGTAACTCCGAGACATGTACGTAGCAAATCGACAGGTTTACGTGCGATATACTCCACTCGCACCACACACCACCTCACCAAACCACAGCACACCACCTCACCAAACCACAGCACACCACCTCACCAAACCACAGCACACCACCTCACCAAACCACAGCACACCACCTCACCAAACCACAGCACACCACCTCACCAAACCACAGCACACCACCCCCAACCACGACCCACCCAACCCACCACCTACAACTCAACTCGTTCACCCCACTACACCCCCACATCCACCTCCCACCCCATCACCCCACCCAACCCCACCCAACCCCACTACCACCTACATCTCGTTGACCCCCCACACCCACCCAACCCCACCCCTCCCCCACCACTACCTACAACTCGTTCACCCCACCACACCCCCAC